AAGGAGTATAGAGTAAGGGACTCAACATACAACCCTGTGGTGTACTAGTGTTAAGAATAAGGGCTGGAGAGGTATGATTACCTAATCTGACCCTCTGTAAGCGGCCAGACAGGAAATCCATAATCCAAAGGCAGATTGAATTAGAAAGCCCAAGGTCCAGAAGTTTAGAGTCTATGTGAAGAATTAAGAATTGTGTTAAATGCAGAACTAAAATCTACAAAAAGCATCCACACATACCCCCCCCCCCCCCCCTGTTCCAGATGAGTCAGAGCAGTGTGAAGAGTGATGCCTATAGCATCCTCTGTAGATCTATTTCTTCTGTATGCAAACTGATGTTTATCAAATGTATGCAGGAGACCAGAAATGATGTGCCGGCAGACCAATTTCTCAAAGCACTTCATGATGATAGGAGTGAGTGCCACTGGTCTGTAATCACTGAGGTTATTGATAGGGAACTTCTTTGGCAGTGGAACAATGGTGGAAGCCTTCAAACAAGATGGAATAGTGGACTGGGATAAAGACCGATTGAAGATCCTGGTAAAGACTCCAGCCAACTGATCAGCACAGTCTTTAAGCACTTATTTTATAATTGGAAAATTCTCAATTTAAATAGTGTTTCCCCGGCTCACATTTATTACCTCCTGGGTCATCTAGTCTATTAGTGTTTATGGCCTTTGCATTTTCTTGCAGCCATTCCCAGGATGGGGGAGTGAGGGATAAAGTTGGTCTGTGGCCAGGAATGAGTCTTTCCCAAGATTAGATTGCCAAATATAATCCAAATCTGCTGACAGAGGATGGCATGCCTCATGTTGGAAGAAGAGCCATCTTCCTCCTGATGTGGGCATTATTATTAGATCCTGTAGTAGTTTTAGAGTCCCGTAGAGACGGCAGGACGGGTCAGTCCAGATGTGGCAAAGTTTGGTTCCCGGCTGGTTTTCCCTGGGATGTGGATCAGAGGTGGTATTCAACCGGTTCGCACCTAGTCGGGTGAACCAGTAGCTGTTATTTGGCATGGGTCACCGAACCGGTGGCAATCCCTGGCTGGCCCCAATCTGGTCGCCCGGTCGGCCACTTGCGATCGCTCTCCTAGCTTTCCGTTCCCCACGTCCTCTTTCTCCCTGGGGAAAAGGAAGAAAGGCATGGACGGTACAAGTATCACTTTCCCCTTGTGAGTTAAAGTGCTGGAGTGCGGTCTGACAGAGAGGGTGGGGGAATCCACTCAAGCCTTGGAGAAATTTAAAGGAGCTGCTTCCAAAATGCTTGTCTGTTAAGGGCTCTCTCTGTGTGTGTGTGTGTGTGTGTGTGTGTGTGTATGAGAAAGAGAAAGAAAGGAAAGGAAAGGAAAGGAAAGGAAAGGAAGAAAAAGAAAGAAAGAAAGAAAGAAAGAAAGAAAGAGAAAAGAAAAAAGAAAGAGGTCAAGGTTGCAGACCCCTGTTCTAGTCCAACTCCCTGCTCAGGCAGGAAAATGGAGGATGCCAAACTCTTAAGTAGAGGTCCTGGGAAAGGTGTCAGAGTAACAGAATAACACTTAGAAGGGACCTTGGGGGGGGGGGGACCATTTCAGAGAAATGGCTGTCCAGTCTTTTCTTAAAAACTTCCAGTGGTTGAGCACCCAGAACTTCTGGAGACAGGCAGTTCCACTGGTTAATTGTTCTCACGGTCAGGAAGTTTCTCCTTAGTCTTAGTTTGCTTCTCTCTTTGTTCAGTTTCAATCCACGGCTTCTTGTTTGCTTTCTGGTGCTTTGGAAAATACATTGCCCCCATTTCTTTCTGGCAGCCCTTTAAAAGCCTGTTGCCTATCACACCCTTGGGCAAAGCATGTGAGCCATTTCCTCCTTTCAGTGGTCCATGAAAGTATATCTGTAGTATGTAGATAATAAAGTCAAAAAAAGCTGAACATCATTTTTACAGAACTATAGATACGTTGAGGCTGGGTGACAAGGAATGGCTGGGAGGGGAGGGGCCAGGTGAGGCACCCCTTGATGTGAGTGACATTGAGTTGGCCACGCCCATCCAATCACATGACCACCAAGCATGCCCACCAAATAAACCACGCCCACAGAACCGGTCGTAAAAAAATTTGAATTCCACCACTGATGTGGATGGAGGATGCCGACTGGGAGCCAATAGAACTCTTATTCTCCAGGAAAAGAACGCAGGATGGGCCCGGAGGGACTATAGGCAGCGGACAAACCGCTTCATGTGGAGAACTGTGAACAATGATAGGCAATCGGTTGTTTTTCCTTCTGGATCCATTTTCTAGCTGGCTGCTCCCAAGACCCTCATGGATCCCATGGAGTGGTTTTAACTTCTTTGAGGGGTGCCTCTGTCAGATGGAACTGAGTAGACAGAGTTGTGTCGTGGGACTAATCTATAGACAGTGTGTTTTGTGGTGCCCTCTAGTAAGTACCTGTAGCACTTGGTGGGCCCTTTAGGGATAGTTTTATGGGAATATCAGTCAGTCATCTTGATTGATAGTCAAACAGGAAACCACCTATTCATGGAAATACCGAGGAGAAACACCCTCCCCCAAAAAACATTGGCATAGCAAATTGCTGTACATATACAGAGGGAAAAACCCACACTCCCTCACACTGATGTTACTATCTAGTTGGGTAATGAAACTCCACAGAGATTTCACAGTTCCACCCTCAGCTGCATAATAATCCTGAACTTGTTTGGTCTTAAATTATGCTTTGTACATTTTATTATTTTAACAGCCAAGGTCTACCAGCTTCTGCATGGAGCCAAACAATATGTTGACCCTATGACCCAAAAGCTTCGGTTTCTAACTGTTCAATATTTTATGTAATGAAGTGATACTGCGAACAATATTGCTTAAGCAAGGTTTAATGGCCAATTAATATGCATGTGATGGGGATCTGCATCTTTTTTTTAGGGTGAGGAAATCTGATATTTGTATATGAAGTAGAAAAGCAGTAGGTAAGAAGTCTGTATAAAGATGAGAGAAGGGAAAGAAATAATCCAATAGCTGCCTTAAAATAGGAATGATAAAAAAATCTACATTTCTGGCAAGTTTTTCTCTTTTTCTATGCAAAGGAATTGGCTAGGAACTTGCAGACTTCCACTTACACGAAATACATCTGAACTTCCACACCTTTGCATGTATTTGGATCAAATGGATCTCATCTATGAGCCAATGAAGGACGCTTTAAAAAGATTTCTAAACCCGAAGACGCCCACAGATTCCCTGATAAAAAGTAAGTTGTGCCTCCCTTGGGATTTATTATGCATGTGAAACTGTTGTGGGAATCATCTGGATAAGGAAAAAACATCCCTGCGAAAAAGACTGTGGCAAACATTGCAGAAGAGGGGTAACAGTCATCGGGGAGCCAAGCTGACCTTGAAGGAGACTTTGCTTTTTTAAGAATGAATATATGATAGAATAATTGGTGTTTTCTCTTAGTGGGAGAAGAAAATTAAAAAGTTGCTTAGGCATTTTTAAGGATGTTACCAAGCTGTCCTCCTATGTGCGTTTACTTGGAATGGAGCACCATTGACCTGAATGGCTTTCTTCCTTGGACACACTGAAATTGTCCAGTCATATTTTAGGTTACTGTACTGTACAAATTCAGCTCATACGCTTAGTTGTTGACCTGCACAACATTGTTGAGAATTCCCACATAAGATGATCTAGTATATAAGCCAAGGGATCCCTGGCTTGGTAATGAAACTTGTGAAGTAGATCTTAGAATAGTTACAAATCGCAAAATGGTTTGAGCCAGTAATGAAATTTCTCTGATTTCCTTCCCTGATCCAATCATTTATAAGGAAATTGTGTGGTTCAGAGGGCTAAGCATATTTCATTCCTTCAAGAATCCTTTCCTTTGTGTTGCAAAAGTATAAAAGTGCACCTTCTGCCATTTGGATTGTGTTTTGTAGATGCAGAGTGGGCAGCAGAAATAACAGCCTTTTCCCTCCATCATATTGTCAAAGTCTATGTAGGAAGCCACTGGTATGCCACCTATTTGCACACGTTATTAAAGGTATAATTATTAAGTATCTTTATCTTGCTTGCTTTAGAGTGGCCAATATTTAGCTAAATGTCAATGGAGCTTCTCAGTCATCCAGGTCACAGTTGTCCCCAAGGTGCTTTTTCAAGAGGCAACTGGACTTTCTGTTTTTTCTTTGAAGACCTTTCGCTTCTCATCCAATAAGCTGCTTCAGCTCTGACTGGATGCGGGGGAATGGAATGATTTATACTCCTTGCAGGCAGCTGGTCGTTTGCGTCCTTTTATTTAGACAATCGTTGAGGCCACTTGGAGGTTTATCTGTGTCCTCAGCAGGGGTGGGGGTTCAGCTGGGTCCGGCCAGGTTGGGTGATCCAGATGTTAAATTTACATCTGGTTCCCTGAACCCATAATTGAACCAACTGGCTGGCCCCGCCCACCTTGCCCCTCCCAGGAGTCTCCACGTGGCCCATTTTGGATGCGGTAAGTGCAGGATCTGCACGGAGGCTCTGGGAGGGCAAAAAATTGCTCTTCCGGAAGTCCAGAAATGGGCCTGTTTCCGGCTTCTGGGGGGCCTCCAGAGCCTGAGGGAAGCCTTTTTTGCCCTCCCAGAGGCCCGAGGGAAGCCTCCGGACTCTGGGGAAGGGGAAAAACGGCCCTCCCGGAAGTTCTGGTAGGTCACGCCAGCCATGACCACGCCCACCCCGCAACTGGGCAGAGAACCGGTTGTTGGGATTTTTCAATCCCACCCCTGGTCGTCAGGGTCACCTGAGCGGTGCAGATGGGTGTGGAGCCTCCTTGGAACTGCTGAAAGGACTGAGCTGTGGTGTCTTCTTGGAGAAGAAGTGAAACGTCTTGGAAGAAAAACAAGAAAGCCTCTTGAAAAAGCCCCTTTGGGACATTTAGGCTGCTTATCCTAAAGAAATCTAGAGGAAGCATGTTGGGTAACTAAGCTCAGAATACATGTGACAGCTTGCACAGAGAACTTAAAACCTGACCTCTCGTGATTTTTGTTGTGCTTCTCCTGGTGAAATGCAGGCTGGGATGTGTGAGAGAATTCCAGAGTCATCCATTCCCTTTCCCGAATGCTGGTGACCGTGGAAGAGCTTCTACCTTAGAGAGCTCATCCTCGCATCCCCCAAACCACAAACCACCCCTGGAATTCTTCTTGTGGTACGGCCTTTGTTTCGTCCCCAGGCCAGACTCGACCCCGCTTAAAGTCCGGGGAGTTCTCTCCCCTTCCAACCCAGTTTTTATCATGGGCTGAACCCTTCAACGATGGGATTGGCCACATGGTGGGCTTGTCTGCTTACTTTTTACTCACCTCTTCCGCCTTCCCCAAAGGCTTTCTGGAAACCCAGGCAGAGCATTCCTTTGAAAGAGCGGGAGTTTGCCAGCTGAGTGATGCTAGTTCTCTCCCCAAGTTTTTTTGTTTCCTTTTTTTGCTGACACCAAACTGGACTTTCTATTGCTTACAAGACTTTGAGCCATTTTATCTCCTGTGCAAGAGATTTGAGGTTACTTGCCACTTGCTGCTTGGCATTGCCACTCCTTCATATGGAGGGTGCTCCTTGTTCCTGGCTCTGCCCCACCCACCCACCTCCCGGCCCATTCCCCCTCCTCCTATCCTGACTGCCAAAGGCATGCGGGAGGATTACTGGATGAAGTGGGGAGGAAAGTCCATGAAGTTCTCTCCTCAACAAGGTTGACCTGTCCGTTGGGCAACTTGAGAGAAGCCTCTGCCCAAAGATCCAGCCCAGCAGAAAGGACCCTGCAGCGCACTGGGGTCTGCTGCTTCCCAGGCCCCCTGGAAGAGACTGCCATTGTCAGTGCTCCAGCAATTCCTCGTGGAAATGGCAGGGCTTTCGGAGCTGTCTGCCTCGATGACCTGGCCACGAGGGGCCTGGCCCTTCTTCTGCCCCAGAAAGGCAGGGGCACCTGGCCAAGAGGAAGGGCAGGACCAGGAAAGGCAGGGGCACCCCGCATTTTCCTTCCCCCCTGCTTCTCGCTGGCAAGAGAGCCAACGTCACAGCAGTCACGTGTACAAGTCCCACCCCCACCCACCCCTTGGGACAGAGAGTGGAGCATGGGGTATCCTGGGGGTGAGGGGGGCCTTGGGGAGCCCAGGCAGGGGGACTTGTGCCTGTACTGGGCCTCCCAGGATCCCCCCCACCTCTGAGCTCCACTTAATGACTGACACCTTCGGTTTTAAGGAATGCACAGTGGGGGGGGGGGAGCAGGGATGATTGGTTGTTACTGGATAATAATAACACTTTATTTGCGGTCACAGACCAAAACACAAGTGCAACAAAAGAAGAACATGGGAAAATTAATCATGAACAGTTGGTCACCAAAAACTCGACCGAGGGGAATTACAGCGTTCTCTGATGGTTACAGCTCTTAAAAAAAATTGGAAACCAGAGAAGTGATGTATGAGGAGCCATCCCCCCTAGACAACATAAGAACAAATTACTAACATTGGGTCTAGAAGGGTCTGTGTCAAGGAGAGACAGTAACTTAGATCTTGATGTCATTCATTTAATGTTGGTCCCAATTTTCGGCCCTAGTGGGCAGGCTTCATTATGGTCATAACTTGAAGGCTACCTGTACTACTACATTGGGCTGCTGTGGCGTTGCAGTTTTAGTCTTTTAAAGACCAGCCAAACTGATAAAAGCATTTTTTCAATGCCTTTTGAGACTCAGGACAATCAACGTATCTGATTTTTTTTTGTTTTTACAAAATATATATGCCATGGTAAAAGTGAGCAAAAGACATTTTTACTGCAGCGAACTCGGGTGGCCGTTTCCCCTCTGGAACCAAGGGAGGAAGCCTGGGCCACCTGCAGGCCAGGCAGAGTGGACGGCCTCCAAGCCATGTGCTGATTCCATGCTAACAACGCCAGTCACCCGTGGTGCCCCAGTCTTTTCCATTTGAGAGAAAGCTTATGGAAAGAGCTGGTTTGAAATCTCTTACCTTTTTTTCTTTTTAGTTTCCAGAGTTGTTGTCAAATTGCAAAAAAGTATACTGGATTGCTTATGGCCAGAGTCTCCTCATTCATGGAGATGGAAAAATGTTTCGACATGTTCTCAACTTCTTAAGACTTGGCAAGTTGTATTTACCATCTGAATTTAAGTACGTTAATTACTGTTTGATGCACATTATGTCTGGGATAGCTAAAGAGCAGTTCGACCTTAAGACAGGGTTGGAAGTGCTCCGTGTACTGAATGGCTGCCTCTCTCAACCACATTCTTGGTAGAACACGGCTTCCTCCCCAAAGTTCTGTTTTCTCTATAATTGGAACAATTCGTTTTTGCCAATTTCTCTTAGGTTGTTCCTGTTTCGTTATGCCCCCTATAATGTCATTAAACAATTTGGAGCAATGAATCAGGAAACGAAGCTAAACATTGTTTCAGAAATATCACTAGTGACGTAAGGGAATGTGATGATTATTTCTCCCAAATCTTAGAAAGCACATTTGTCTGGCGAAGGACTTAGCACTTGGGCACGGCCAGAGGAGGCTGCAGTGCCAGAGCCCCAGGGCAGATGCCCTGCGCCCCAAGGAGCGACTGGGGCAGTGCAGGTCTCCCCCTGCAGCAGCAGCAGAAGGAGAAGCTGCACTGAAGGTGGCCTTGTGTTTGGACCAGGCCTCCCTCCGGCTGGGCAGCTCACTTCATCATGGCTCGGGGTGGCTTAGACTTCAAATGAGAAAATCACCGAAAGAGCTGCACAGCAACCAGCCATCCAGGGTGTCACAAACACCCCAACCCAAGGGAAACAGTAATGCTTGGAAAGATTGGGTTAGAACAGGGGTGTCAAACTGGATTTCTTCAAGGGCCGGATCAGCATTGTAGTTCTCCTCTGAGGGCCGGGGGGGGGGGAACGGATGCCTCCTGCAGCACCCTACTGGCCAAAACAGGGCGTGGGGGATCCGGGCGCAGCCCCCCTGCGCCTCGTTTTCACTCTCTATGGCCTCCTGCAGCAATGCTGGCCCCAAAACAGGGCCATGTGCCCCGTTTTTGCGCCGTTTTTGGTCTTTTGGGGGGCCTGTTATGGGTCTGTTTGTGGGCCCAGTTTTCTGCCATTTTTGGCCTGTTTTTTTGGCACATTTTCTGGCGTTTTTCGGCCCTGGTTTCAGCCAGCAGAGTGCTGCAGAAGGCCGTGGAGGGTGAAAACAAGGTGTGTGTGTGGGGGGGGGGGCACACATGGCCCGTTTTAGCCACCAGAGGCATTGTGGGCCAGTAGGCATGTTTTTAGGCAGCCTCGCAGGCTGGATGTAAGCAGTCCAGCCCGCGGGCCTTGAGTTTGGCACTCCTGGGTTAGTGCTGCAGGGATCCCTGGGGGCAGGGTGGTCATTCCAAAGTCCAGGGGCTGGAACAGAAAAGGAATTCCTCTCGTGCTTCGACGGATGGATGGAAGTCAGGCAGAGATGTGGGAAATCGTACTGTATAATCTGGCCTTATGCTATGGAGGCCTTCAGGGGGAGAACCAGCATCGTAAATTGCAGCAGAATACCACTCACAATTAGGACAGCTTGTGTAATAGTGGTGTTACTTGAGTGTAGCGAGGCATGCCCAATACGGCCTGCACTGCTGCATTCTGGAGCAGCTACAGCTTCTGAATGGTCTTCAAGGGCACCCTGTGTAGATTGCATTGTAATAGTAATCAGACTGTGAAGGGACTATGTAGGATTTAGTGTAGAACTGGCCAAGCGGTAACTGAAGGCCAGAGTCTTCCAAATATCCAGTAACCAGAAGTACAGGGTGGAATCACAGAATCATAGGGCTGGAAGGGACCTCGGGGTCTTGCCCTTGCCCAAGGCAGGAGATCTGGTACCATTCTGGTCAAATGGTTGACCAGTCTTGAAAACCTCCAATGATGGAGAATCTACAACACTGGGAAACAAACTGTTCCACTCATTAATCATTCTTGCCATCAAAAGAATCCCTCCTTATTTCCAGGCTGAATCTCCCTCTGCCAAGCTTCCACCCGCTGCTTTTTATCCTGTCCACAGGTGCTCTGGAGAATAAATTAATGTCCTCTTCCCTGTGACAGCCCCTCAAGTATTGGAAGATCACTATGTTGTTTCCCCTCAGCCTTCTCTTCATTTGGCTAAATAAACCTAGTTCCCTTAGTTGTTTATTATATGACTTAAGCTCCAGCCTCCAAATCATCTTTGTTGTTCTTCTTTGCATTCTTTCTAGAGTCTCAATCTCTTTTTTGTATCATGGTGACCAAAACTGGATGCAGCCCGTATTCCAAATGTGGCCTCACTAGCGCAGTGTAGAGCAGCACTATCATTTCTCATGATCTTGATGCTGTTCCTCTGTTGATGCATCCTAGAAATGTGTTGGCTTTTCTGGCAGCTAACTCGTAATAAGTGGTGATGCACTCAGACGCCTAGATCCCCTCAATTACTATTGCCACCGATATAGAATAGAAGGCAGGTACCTTCTCTTCTCCCCCTGTGCATTTGGTTTCTTCCTACCTAGGTGCAGGAGCAGACTTTTCTCATCACTGAACTGCTTCTTGTCGGACAGGGTGCAATGCTCAAGTCTGTCAAGATCCTTCTGAGTCTTGAGGCCGCCTTCTGGAGTGTTGGCTATTCCCCCCCTTTTTGGTGTCATTTGCAAATCTGATGAGTTCCCCTTTTATCCTCTCATCTAGATCATTTATAAAACTGGAGCCAGATGGACTGCTCTGAAACCAAAGACCCTGAAATCAATATTGAGCCTTTTGTAGACAGCTTCCAGGCATAATCTATCTTTCTTTCTTTCTTTCTTTCTTTCTTTCTTTCTTTCTTTCTTTCT